GGGGAAAGGAATTAAACAAATTGTGAAAGTGCAGTAATAATGAACGGCGAATACAGGGCCATTAATAAGTCTGCAGTATCCATATTCATGCCGCTCATTGCTAGGAATGAGCTCATGCTGTAGGACTTACCTGGAAAAGAAGTGATCTATCTGCACCTCGGGCCTAGAGCTGGGTGACTAGTCCCCGTGGCATGCCAGCTCCCCTCTCCCTCCGCTAAAGTACTGGGCATTCGCTGTGGGGCTGCGGGGACTTAGCATAAGCTTTTTAGCCCCACAGCCCTGAATTTGAATACAACTTTCATCTTCACTAGCTGTGTGACCTCAGGCAAGTTACTTTACCTTTCTGAGCCTGTTTCCCATTCTGAAAATGTGGAAAATAGCACTACCTTGCAGAGTTGCCTTGAGCATTATGGATAGCTAATGCGTTGAAGCAGATGGGTTATAGTAGCTCAATAAATATTAATTCCTTTTCCCCTTAAGGGGATTCAAACTGAACATAACTTTCAGGTAAAAGTCATTATATCATCACTGCCTTGACACCAGCAACAGAACCCCTTTCCTTTTCAGGGGAAAAGGAAGAAAGAACAGCTTTTACTCTTTCGGGATGGATTTGATGAAGGCAGATAGTGCGATAATTCCCAGGAAACAAGAGCCTAGGGCAGATATACCCTGTCCTGCTCTTCAGAGATCGACAGTGGCATCTCACAATCTGTCAGACACAGGACAGCTGTGACGCAGTTGGTCATAGCTGTTAATATCATCATCACTTTATGCGTATTGTTGGTTCCGCACATGATGTGTCTAATTGCCGTTTAAAATCTCTTCAAAATTGCACCCAGATTCTGCATTGAAATGTAAAGTCGCTGTGCATGCTGAAAGACACCAGAGCAGAGAAGCCTAGTGTTTGTTTGCTGTCAGTGAAACAGACATTTGCATTCATATTTTCTTGAAAAGCAACAAACAAGTTCTTTCTGGGACCCCGTAAAGGAAGATAGCACCTAGTAGCTAAAGTTTTATTAAGTTTTGTTACTGAGATGCCCTTGGAAAAACATAGACATCAATGATTCTGAATCAAAAAATGGTTCAGGTAAGTCGGACTCTGAATGTGAAGAACTTTTTTAGGAACAGCTTCAGCAATTAATTTTGCTATATTTTCCTTTTACTGTATGCCCACGAGTGTTGCGTGGTTTTTAAATTTCGTCATTCTACATGATAAGAAAGTAATGAATCATAGTTTACTGGGTAGTTTTTTGCTTTCTCGGTGGAAGTAGAGGTTGCCCGCCAGAGAAAGTGATGAGCAACCCTACCAAACTCAGCAAGTAGCCAGGTGACAGGGGAGTGCTTGGAGTCAGACACCCGTGTGTAGAGATGACGCATGTCAGGCACCTCGCATCCATCCTGGAGTCTCAGCCGTTCTCACCAGGGTTTGCCAAGTATCCATCAGAACCCGGACAGCGACAGGAAACCATTTGGGGGACAATAACAGACTGGATCCAGAGGCACCAGCCATTCCAGGGGCTCAGAGAGAACCCATTTGGACATGATGGCAGTCACCTACTGAGCCTACCTGCCCTGTGCTGCCCCTGTACTAGGCACTTTGTGGATTATCCCTAATCCATCAGCAGTCCTGAAACATTTCCACTGGCACAGGTACTGTCCTTCTAGAAGACACTTTGCCAAGATATAACAAAAGATGTGAAAAACAGTCCTGCCTTTTGACTTAGTGCTCTGTGTTTGGGAATCATGCACGTGGAGTTTTTTTGGTTTTATTATAGTGTTACAGTGAGAAGTTGGAAGTGACTTAATGTCTCACTTGAGATATAGGGGTCATGCATTATAGTTCATCTGTACTTGGTGGAATATTACACAGTCTTTAAAATAATCACAGTCTGTAGTGAAAAATAGGAAATGTTTATGTAACCAATGAGAAAGCAATAAAATGTAGCTTCAAAGATATAAAAATGTCTGTTAATGTGGGGCCAGTATTGGAGGAGAACAAGGTAGAAATAAAAGTCGTTCTGTTAAAATGACATGATCATGGATAAGTGGTTTTCCCCCAGAAAAATTTCTCTTTACAATAACAAGACAATTAAAAAAAAAAAGAGGTTTTCAAAGAAAAAGGGTCAGTAGCAGCAGTGACTGCTGAGGTTTAATGAAATTAGAAACTTTTCAGAAACGTATCTGGAATTGATATGTTAAGATGCTACATTGACATGTTAAGAGGACTCTGGGTCTCCTTTTTTCCCCCATTTCCTACTTGGAATTTGTAATTAGGCTATATGCTGAGTGTAAATGCTGTATTTGAGGAAGTATTTGAGGCTTTGTAAGCAAATGATGGTAATGTAAAAGGTATTTGTCTAAATTTGCATTTATATAAAACATGGAGCTGCTGTGATTTCAGAATAATGTGTTTTAAATATTTTCTAAATACAGAGCTGTTGCAGCCCTAACAATACTTGGCTAAGAAACTACATTTTGGTGGTAGGCCGTAATTACTCTTAGGAAAATTATTGGGCTTAAAAAAAATACCTACCTAAGGATACTGACGTGTGAGTCCCACTTTGTCCCTTGCATATGTAGTCATTTCTGGAAGACCCCTTTTTCCTCTCTTCTAAGGTATCACTGATTTTATTGCAGGACAAAAGGGCATGGCATTAAAACCTATATACTCGAAATTCTAGAAAATATTTCTTTTTTAGGTGGGAGCCTGTGTTGAGTTATACAGAGTATTTTCACATTTTTTCTCACAATTTTTGGAGTGTCTTTTTCTGTGCATTAATTCATTTATTGAAATTTCAGTTCGGAAATGCTAATTAAAACTCAGTCCTCGGTCAATTGCACGATTGATTGTAGGAGCTGGAAAAGTTGATAAGATTTGGTTAAATGTTACGGATTTGAGTTTTTCTCCCTTCTATGCGTTAGGCTGTGCTTCTGAACACATTAATCAGTGGCCATTTTTCTGGAATTTTGCACTCTTCCTGCTTCCTTTCATTACATTAGGCGAGGTTCCACTAGATGAGACATTTGTAGTCTTAAGACTTCCTGCCAGAGTTCAGACTTTGTATTTTTGACATTGAAGCTGTCGTGTTCCTGAAGCTACTTAATTAGAAACACATTCATTTCAGTGTACACTGGAAAAAACTTGGACAGCAGGGCCAGGCACACTGGGAAGTGTGAGTATTTGTGGAGCTGGCAGCTAAACTAATGGTTTACAGTTTAAGGGAAAAAAATATCGTAGGGCATTTTCCTTGCCCCTAGAAGCGAGGAGAAGCCGAATGTGCACAGCAGACACCTTTTTTAAAAAGAGAGAAGAAAGAAAAAAGACAACTCCACTTTCACTGCAGTTATGTCTATAATTCTTTCTTTGGCTATTATCAAATACAAAAGTCTTCTAGAAGAATCGTTCCCAAAGTATGCTGCTAATATTCAAATCTGTTTTATAGGCTCCCAAGATATATTACTGCTGAGATCTGTAGTAAGGAGGACGTTTTATATTCGGAGGAAGGATTTTTGCTTGAAGAATTCTGTTTGTCAAATGGTAGTGAGGGAATTGTGCCCTCTTCTTATTTTTAAGTGTTTAAGCAATTTTAAAATGCACATCTGATGCTTAAAAACTTTCATTGCCTATCCATTGGTTTTTCAGGATAAAAACCAAAACTCCTTAGTATTCAATTGGAAGCAAATCTCTCCTTTCTCATTTCTAACCACTCCTTGTTTCCCCAACCCTGTCCCCAAGAAAGCCATCCTGCAGGTCCGCTCCCACCCCCAGCTGCTCCAGAGGACGGGTACCTGGTCAGCGCAGACTGAGACAGGTAGCTTTCCTCTAGGCTAGATCCACGCACCGTTTTGCACCTTTCATAGGGCCTGTCGCATACCAGAGAGACATGTGGCAAGGTTGCCAGTCGCTCCCTTTCTCCCTAACTCCTTGACCTCCCTTCCCTACCCCCAGGAAGAAGGTCACATGGGAGGTGGGCCTGGGGATTTTAGGTTCGGTATTATGAAGTCGGTATGGCACAGAGGAAGAAACTTTGGAGTCAAATCCTAGGTTTGCCACTTTGTTTTGTCACGTCAGATAAATGATTTCAGCTCTCTGGCCCTATTTCTCTGGAAAATGGGGATAATACCTACTTTGTATGGTTATTGTGTGGATTAGGAAAAATGAATCTGAAGTTCCTCATATAATGCCAGCACGTTTGTCATTGGTAAGTAAATCTTAATGATAATGAGTGTGTGCACACGTACCCACAGACACACAGACGCCTGAAAAGAAAGGAACTCGATCCATAATGCCCGGGTTTTAAAACCTCTGGAGCGGGGTTCTCATCTCCTGCCCAGTTGCTAACTTAGGGAACCCATTGCCCTGTGAACAAAATAGTTTGAAGGGGCTCTGTGAATTTTAGTGTCATCAGATGGCACGTGTGCAGCCGTGGGGGGAGACGCTGGCTGGTAGCTCTCCACGTACCTCGTTGAATCAGATCGGACGGTTAGGTCACACTTCTTGATGGCAGAAGGAACCAGCAAGTAAACAAATCATTCTCCATTCAACCTTATTCTCTGTTTTTTTTTGTTTGTTTGTTTGTTTTTTTCCTATTATTGTGATAATAGTAGTTCCATTTGTACCAGGAACTGTAGTAATCACTCGACGTATATTTTCTGTCATTCCGATAGCAACCTACCAGCTCGATTGCAAGATCCCATTTTAAAGATAAGGCAACTGAGGCTGCGCAGTTGCATTTGCGTAGCTGCTACGCGGGGACTAACGCCAGAGCTGGTTGTCTTCCCACCACCCGTGCTGCTTCCAGTACTGCCCGCATTTTGAAATTCCTCTGAAGTTTCTAGGCTTGGGAACAAAATGTCATATTAAGATTTTTGTTGTGAAAAGAAATGTAACTGTGCATACGTTTATTAAAACAGTTTTTCTCCAAATAGTGAACCATCTGTAATTTCTGTCGGAAGCAACAGACATTAAAGCAGCTGTGTGTCTCTGTTTCTCTTCACAGTGCTCCCATGCCCTACCTCATAGGAATCCATTTAAGTTTAATGGAGGTAAGTTGGCTCCTTTCCTCCCCAAATCACTCTACTTGCCGTTCTGTTTTGCTGCGTGGCAGCGGGAAAGACGCAGCCCGTGGGCTCACCGCTGTGCGCGGGGGCGCGCGTGGCAGCAGCACCTCGTGGACCGC